TTTAAAAAAGCTTTATTTAAATGTATGTATGTAAAAAAGTGGTTTTTTAGACATTAAATATATAAAATTTAAATTTATATAAAATAATATTAATTAAATGTATGTAAAAAAGTGGTTTGTTAGACATTAAATATATAAAATAATATTAATTGTGATAATGTGATAAAACACTAAAGAAAGCTTTGCTAGCCTACTCTTATTATTTCGCAGGTTTCTCAAACTGGGTCTTGAGATGAGTGAGGCTCGTTCCTTGTTTTTGGAATCCTATATATCGTTCGTATTGTACAAGGATCAGTACTGCTGAAACATGGATTGAATGAGTTCAAGGGTAGGGGTCTCAGTTCAACAAATATGGGTCTTTTCTCTACATGGGAGGGAAAGCCATAACCCAGCAGTTCTGGCCTTGCTGGCTATGCCAAACTTCTATCTTGGCAAGGCTTTGGTCATCATGTCTACTCTTATTTTCATCAGTTTGAATCTTCTAGAGTTCATGCAATCTTGTACGGTTTCTTGCTTGAACAACTGCTTGGAGACAGACCAAGAATAACATGCATTAATTTAGCTTTGTGAGTTTATAATATAATAACCTGTTAATAAATAAGTGAATGTATATAATATTATAAATATTTTTTTTTAAAAAAAATTATATGATAATATATTATAATTATAAATTTATGATACCATACAACTACTTTATTATTTTTTAGAAAGAATCAAATAAAAGAGAATACTGCATCCTATAGAAATTTACTTTCCGCTATGCTTTTGCATGTCAGAGCGAATCAAATAACCCAGCACAAGCAAAGGACATTAGAATAAAGCAATCCAATTTTGTTATGGAGAGCTGAGGATTTGCCATCTTGAATTTACGATTCCTCTTACGAATATAATTCTTTATTCTTTCCCAGAAAGATGACAGATCAGAAAATTCCAACTAAAACAGAATGAGTCCAGATTTTATTCTTCTCATTGACAATGTCTGTCCATTGTATGTCTTTTCTATATAACGCAGCACCACTGATCTGATATACCAATGGCAACGTCATGTGTGACATCAGAAGAAGTTAAGGAGACGCTTCCAAGCTAAAAAAACCCAGATGAAGATGCCGGCGCCAGTGACTTGTATTCCAAGGCATATTCTTTGCCCGCTTGAGGAGGCCGCTAAAGATCATATTTTTTCCCCCATGAAAAAGTTCATGGCTCCGCTCAATGCTGCAATAAAGGGCATCAAATTGGACTGCCCTTTTCGTAATCATGAAGTACAAGATAAAATAACTTGCCCTCTAAGCACATGACCTGGGTTTGAGTCACATTCCCCCTCCCACAAATTGTAACTTGTTAAAAATAAATAAATAAATAAATAAAACACAAACAAACAACTTCTTCTGTAATACAACAACAATTTCACAGATAATCCCATGGTTCGGATGCATTACACAAGAAATGTAAATGAATCAGTCAAATTTACTTGAAAAGGACAGTTTCCTATGAACTTTCTTAAGTATAAAGCCTTTTCCTACCTTTACCACCCAGTGCCAGTCACAGGGGGGGGGGGGGGTTTCCATAGCTAGAGTTGTGCAAGATAGCAGGAGTCAATCATACACTAAAATTTAGCATTTGGTCAACAGCCTTATTTTAAGGGTTTCTTATATTTCTTCACAATCTTCTAAGCTTACCTATAGCATTTTTCAGAGAGGTTGACGAGGAGGATGAAGATAACCCAGAGCGGCTAATCTCAGCCTTGTCCTTGTTGAAGGCCTTCTGAACATCTTCTTTAAGCTCCATGAAACGCGTTCTCTTAATTCTCTGTTCCTCAGGAGTGCCTGTATCAAGGTAAAATAACTCCTGAAGGTCATCCTCCATGAATCTATCCAGCACTTCTGAGCAATGAGGGAAATAGCGCCTGCCCAACTCCACTGTGCCATGACAACCACAAAGTTCAAATAAATAAGTGCAATTGTGAAAGTTTGGAGTTTTGGATGAGTTGGCATTAATTGGAGAAGACTTTTAAAAGTGCATGTATTCTGCTTGTCTCAATTTTCAATATGCAATTCACAATCCTCAACTCAGTGTTATTAAATCCGAACATAAAGCAAAGAACATTGAGTAAAAGCATAAGTATCATAATGACCAAAACCAGAGAAAATTAGAGTTAGAGCTTAGGTTAATACAGCATCAGATGCTTTTCTAGTCTTTCAATTTCTTAGTGTTTCTGTCTTCCTTCTTCCATCTTCGTTTAATATTTTTTCTTTTCAAGCAAAAGAACTACCATTGAAAAACTAGGTAGGATTGAGCACTTGCATTTCAGACAGGGATTACACATGCACAACACCACTGAATTAAAAATGGTGATTAAAAAAAAAAAAAAGTCTGCTACAACAAAGCAAAGAAAACCAACATACAGAGAAGAATAAATGCTCGTAATTTACCAGTTTTCATAAGTGCCTCCATCCTTGAACAAAGTCTTTTGTTCTGCACGATGGGTGTCTCATTTAAGTCGACCTCTCTTAAGTTCCCACTTGAACCTTTTGCGGCAGAAAGACCAGCGAACTCAGATGTTGTCTCTGCATTTGCAATGTCCATGGCTAGCTTGGCTTCACTTGGGAAAAACAATCGTGCAAATGCCACTGTGATTCACAATAAGTTAAAGCCAGAACCATCAAATAGATAACACAAGTAAACTATTTACAGAGCAAAACTAGGAGACTCATCCATTCATTTCATTCACATTAAAAAGTTTCAATGCATTCAACTAAAACAAGGGCAGAGGGATGGGAGCCATGGGAATTTCCCAAGTTGACCAATACCTCTGTTCTCCAAGTACAGCAGTTTCATGTGCAGATCATCAGTCAATGCATAAGAGGTGACAGATATGTCTCCAGCCATTGGATTCCTCCGCATTTCTCTCTCAAGAATATCAATGCATATACGGTCTTTATTTGTTTCCTTCCCTTGCTCTGTTTTTGCGTGATAGTCCTTTGGTCTTATTAACCTTCGACAGATGTTAACAGCACTGCGTCCATCAGGTGTCAATTCTGAAGGAAAAGCCCTTTTTGTCAGAAGTGACATTATTATGGATGGCTCTTTACGCATTGCAGCAATGTGAAGAACTGTATAACCACGAGAATTCCGCAGATTTACATCAGCCAGCTGCATGCCAAGAACTTCAGACACAACCTTGGGATCACAATAGGCTACAGCATAATGGAGGGCATGGGCATCATCTAAGGTTACTTTAGACTCACTCAGGAGAAGTTTTACAAGTTCAACATCATCAGAGTCTAATGCTTTGTGTATGCTCCTGATTCTCTTCTCTCGCAAAGGGTCCACAGGCATTATGTCATCTTCTTCCTCTGCTGGAGTCTTGTTTCGAAGCAATCTAATACTCTCTGCAACTTCGTAAGGAAGTTCTTTCTCTATTGAAACATTGTCAAGATCTGACCGCGCCACTCTGTCAACACACTGAGAAACAAGTTGGCTGCATTGACAATGGAATGCAACAACGAGGATTGGGATAACATCTTCTACAAGAGCCTTGTCAACAAAATTTAGAAGACGCCGCTGCAAATTCACAAATTGTGAGATTAGTAAAATCTTCTCTCAAGGCTGGTCTAATCAAGCCACAAATTTTTCTTAACAGATGGGGAAAACAAAGTTAGTACTAGCTTCTTTATTTCAATCAACAAACGAGCAAAATTAATATTTTCCTCATGAGTGGTCATATGTCAACATTGCCAGAGGTATACCAACACTGTCTTATAGTTTTTACGACTCAAATGCCTTCAAGTCAATCTACTTAGCTAAAGAAATTCTTAGTCAAAGAAACAGAAAGTCTAACTGGCATAATTTATTCTTGTTGTCACCAGAGTTCACCCTTCTCACATTAGCCTATGAAATTGATCTCATAAAACTCCAAAAAGAGCCAACTCAACTATAAACATAGATTCATATTAATCAATTCATGATGAAATCATACAAATACTCCTACTCCAGGCAACAATAAACTTGCAAATGATGACGTAAATAAATTAACTAAATATGTGGGACATCAGATACTGACCTGAAAAAGTGAAACCAGCTCTGGTATTTGAAATATGGATGATGCATACATCAATTCCACAGCAAAATTAATGGCAGGTCGACAGGCATCATGAACACATACAGTATCCACACAGTTTGAAACCTCCATTGGAGAAGGCTTGAGCTTTCCGGTGTACAAGTAGCTCAAGAAGATCAGAAAAGCTTCATATCCAATCTTGCCATAAGGCAGGAATTCGCTCATGTGATACTTTGGCTTTTTTTCTTTCTCAGAAGACTCATTTCCCTTCTTGAATAGCTCATGAAAGAACTTACTCCTGGCGGCTAAAATACATCTATGAACACCAACATGAATACCCTCAACAACTATATCAGCATCACTGTAATCACAATCATGTTCAGACAGAAGTTGCCCCAGATGACAGCTAAGCTTGCTTAAACTCAACACTTCAAGATTAGAACCAGTTTCAGGGCCAGAAAAAGAGCATGTGCTGGGAGTAGTTGAGCCATTTGACAAATGAGAAAATGAAGTAAAGCTCAAAGAAGACGACGGCTCAGAGAAATAAGCCATTAAAATCCAATCAAAGGCTGAAAATCATGACCAAGAAAATTTAAAACCCATCATCCACAGATCCTTTCCACTGCTAATTAAAACATTTAATCCTGTATTCCTGATCTACCTAGAAACCACACATGTCTATAGAAACGATTAAATGTAAACAAAAAGCACGCCTACACGCCAATCAAAACCCATGAAGCTCCAAACTCAAGATCCCAAATTGACCCATTTGATGAAATTACCCACCATATCAGATGACTCAAAAATTAAATTCAAAGCCATAATACAAAATACCCACTTGCTTTGAATTTCCAGGACCTCCTAATCAACATAATTCTAGTGTCAACATGGAAAAGCCAGAAAGAAAAGATTGCAACTTTACAACATAACCAAAATCACTACCACGATAGATTGCAAAGAAATCAATCAGATCTAAAGAAAACCCAAAATTTGAAAGAATTCACAGAACCAAACAGAGGAAACAAGGAGCAAGAGAGGAAGTCAAAACACAGGGAGGTTCCCTGAAGTTTAGGGGGAAGAGGGGAGGGGAAAAAGCGCAAAAGGGTAACGTGAAAACATTGACAAAATGGGAAAATTAAAACAAAAAAAAAAAACTTTAATTTAATGGGAAATTTCGTTTTTTTCCAGAGTCTTTAAAACCGACAAAGGACAGAGAGCAGAGAGCAGAGAGCACGGAAACAGAGAAAGGGGAGGAAATGAAAGGAGGGGGAGGGGACGGGGACGAGTGGTTGCTGATTTTCGTTGGAGAGATGAAGTTGTTTTGGTGACGTCGTCATCAACGTCAGCATTAGCGATGTGCTCCGGTGACGCCATCAGTGACGTGGCCTTTTTTTTTAGAGAATAGGGGCCGTTTTCTATTTTAGTAATATTCAACTCGGAAATGTTTATTGGCCCAAAAAAGAAAAAAAGAAAAAAAAAAAAACCCCCGGAGATTTTTTGTTTATAACGAGGTCCGCACGGGTACATTTTTTTAAATTTGTTAGGAGGGTAGAAAATTTTATTTACGTAGATAA